TAATACGCAGCGAGTAAATGCTCCCAATTTAGTGAAGGAAGACATTTGTCCTGAGGCTAAAACATTGATTCTCCACTTACTGCCTTTTAATTGTGATGTATCCAATTTATCTTTTTAGGCTATTGACTCTTAGGGGAAAAGGTTCTTCTTTTTCATTCTGTATGCTGTTCTCATGCCAGCTTTATTTTACTGCAAAAGAGCCACATTCAGGTTAAATCATTTTCACGCTAGCAAGATAACATTTTCCTATTGCTAGAATTAATTGCTGTAACTTCTATCGGTTTTCTACCACAATGTCTGATGTAAAGATGAATTAGAGGTGACAACATTATGAATAAATGAAGGAGTAACAAAAAAAGGAATGTTCCAGATGTTGTAAAAATGTTCTTTTCTACTGAGAAAACTGTTTGCTCATCCATACCATGGTAATGCTTATGCTTTAGTAGTATGAACTACTGTGCATAGGCAACACAGGTTTCAGGATACCACTAGTCCAGAAAAAGAGAAGCCAGCCAGCATGTTCCTTTTTTTTTCCAGAATTGCAGGTGCTCTGTTTCACTGCCATTACCCCCAGGCTTATCTGCTGCTCCAAATTCACATTTACGCTCCCTGCCACGTATGAATTGGCCAAATTGCACAGCCCTTCATTCCCAGATATTCAAGCTTCACGATTCACAGGCGATAAAATGTGACAGGACTTTTCACCAACAAACGAACTGCAGGGCATCCTAATCAGCAGGCGAGGCAGCTCTAATAAGTGGGTTACAGCGTAAGGAGATAAACTCAAATGGAGCAGAACGTTCATAATATAAGAAACACGAGATGCTACTCAGCCTAAAGCACCATTGGTGCTATACAAAGACATCCAACTAACACAGCAACTTTTTTTTCCCCTTTGGAAGCAGGATTCCTTTTAACTGCCAGTTAAAGACGGTCTCAGTAGCGTGTGAACAAGAATGGCAACCGCTTACAGCCCCCAGCATGACTACTTCCAGCTTCTTTTCCCTTTTCAATTGCAGTGAACCGCAGTCAGGCAGACTGCAAAGGGGTTTTTGGTGTTTTTTTGTTTTGTTCATAAATTGTGGTGTTAGGATACTGCTGGTTATCAGTGTTTATAGGTCTCATTGACAGACAGGATGGGACACGCACCAAGCAGCCCATATGCCAGCTGCTGCCCCCACCGCGGGAGGTACCACGTGGCCGGAGGCTCAGACAGAATCTGCTTGGGTGGCTCTGGCATCAGCTGGAGATGAGTCTGTGCTAGCAGTGAAAACACTGTCCCAAGAAGGTCACCTGTCCCCAAATGCTGCTTCCCGAAGGACACCTGCTCCTGATCTTTTTACCAAGCTGTGCCAAACGATAAGGTTTGCTTGTGTCAAGTACACAAAGCCTCGTTCCCTCTGTGTCCCTACTGACAGCCTAAGCTTCAGGGTGAAGTTGTGACACCATCACTACAATAGGAAAAACTCCCTTTGGTTCAAGGCAACCAGCTTTTCAAAGTACTTTAGCCCCTATACCCACAGCATGATCCCTATTGAGATTTTTCTCCCTGCAAATCTATTATTTCTAACACACTAAGATCCCACAGCCACTGCTAAAACTACCAACTACAAAAAAGGGTAAATTTCCAAGCACAGACCACAAGATTCCCTCTTCCAGCAGAAAGGATGTGCAAGAACCTGCCCCAGGATCTGAAGAAGGTTCCCTCTGAGCAGACCCCCTCTCTGTACCCAGGCTGCACTGGTTGGAGGACCACGGCTTTCGCTGGTACTGTGAGAAATGGCATGCCTGGGACCCTGGGGCAGTGCTCTGAATCACTGGAGCGATGAAAACAACTGAGGAATTTGATGCATCCAATTCGATCACAGAGGGCCCCGTGTGTCAAGTCTCACTAGGGTAAGAAGTCTCAGGGACCTCAGAGGAGTTATAGGCCTGGTGCTAGACTGTCACGGCCCTTAACTTATCACACGCAGGAAAAGGGGAAAATAAAACAATCCATCACTTCCCTGCTCAGCCGTGCTCAAATTACGATTCAAGACACAGGAAAAAGAGATGAGGCTGCCGACTCAGTATACTTCACTGTGGAGTTGCTGCAAAGGGATGGGGAGGGACCCAGCAACATGTATACGAAAGCTGTGCATTTACTCTCTGGCTAATGATGGATGAGCATAGCAAAGTACAAACCAGAATATCTGCTGCTTCTTTTGAACAAGAATTTTCTGATCATTGTTCCAAAGCCATTATTTAGAAAAAATATGTTTTAAAATAGATATGGCAGTTTACTTTAAGATTTCTTGAACACTTTCTCCCTCTCTCCTTTTACTAAAAGAAAAAAAAAAAAACAAAACAAACAACCACCAAGCAACCCACAAGTCTGGAATTCACCATTAGTGAAATTGGTGAAATCACAGTGAAAAGGTGAGTGGCTATGTGTTTGCAGTTTTAAGTATAACGCCTGTATTTTGCATGGTGTTACCCATGACCTAGCAGCAGCCAGCACAGAGGCACACAAGAAACCAGGAAAAGGCTAGGGCTGGGAAAATCCCTTGTTATCCCCTTCCCCATCTGAGCAGTGAGGATAACACAACGTGCCAATGGTGCAGGATGCTGCAAAACATTCAACAATTTTATTACTAAAGGTTGGACATGTACTGCAGAGAGGCAGATGGAGAAAGCCATCTGATGGTTTCATCTGGGACTGGAGTGTGGAGGATCATACTTAGCTGAAAGCCTTTACACAGACAAGAACCAGCCCATTATTTTTCTCTAAACAATAAAGGACTTTTCAAGTCTTTATCATTTTTTTTTCCTCTTGCACTCATATGGGGGGGTTATTCAGGTTAACCTTTGCTGCTATTCCTTTGCTTTTGTTGTCTTCACTGCTTAGTATTTGCATTACAATACACCAAATATTTATGTCATGCAGCAAACAATGAAGACAATAGAGAAACCTGCTGCACCTAGAACACTGCTGGCCTCTCTGATCTGCAAAAGAAACTGGCAAAACCACCCAGACTATTCTGTAATGCAGAAAAGCAGTAAAAATTAGATGATATGAAGAAAATGCGATTTCCAAGGACATTGGTTTGGCCCTCAAACTGAAAACTGTTATCTGATACCACTTTTTATCATATTTTATTTTTCATCCATGTACAGTATACTCAGCTGAAGGTCATAATAGGTGTTTCTTCTCATCTGATCTCTACGAAGACCATGAGTACTGCATGAAGAATACTTTCTTTTGAACATGAGTCCTGCTCATCTGAAAGTGAATGGCTGCTTAAGGCACTTTATTTCCCCATGTGTGTGTATATATATAGGGCTCAACTGAAGAACTTGGAGAGATTACATATTTGCATATTACAAAGGCATAGGTCCTCACACATTCTTCTATTAACTTAAAACATACAGCCGATACTTAATAATGATAAAGTAACTCTTCCACACTAGACCTGAAAAAATTGCTTAATTGTTTCAATCTCAGGTCTAAGACATGGATGTGAACTGTGAAAAAAAAAAATTATTGTAATCTCTTAGCCTACTGGTATTTATTACCTTGGTTGGCTGGCTTACTTTTCAGAGAAAACTGGGACTAAACCAATGACATTGATTGTCCCTCCAAATTTATGATAACCAGGAAATGAACAGCAAGTCCTAAGTCAACAAGACACCACTCACTACAGGCTAAAAAGAACTTTTCAGCATCCCACAAAATGAAGACATGCAAGGCCACATCATAATGTTCCTCTGAAGACAGCTGAAGGAAACTCTCCTGGCTTCCAAGCTGGCAAATGGCTTCACCGTGAGCATGTGAGAAAGGTCTATTGAGACACGGATCTCTTATTTCTAACAGACACGGCATCAGCCCCTACCCAGCATCCAGTTCGCAGCTATTGTATACATCAAACAAGGCAAAGAAAAAACATCAAAAGTCTCTACATGTGTTAAGTGTGGGGAAAAAAGAATAAAAATCTTTCCAGACCCTGGTGCAACCAGACACGATCAACACACAGCATGTGAGACTTTTCAGTGTTTTTAGAAGTATCAACTTGGGACCGTTTAAAAAAACAACCAAACAAAACCCCCCAAATCACAAACTTTCAAAATTTAAGCTTCAGTGATGTCCACTGAAACCTACATACACCCACAGGTAAGACAGATCTTTCTTGAAACCATCTTCCAGATTAAACAACATCTGAGCTAGTCTTTTTCTAATGCTGGTTGGACTAAAGCTCCTCAGCTCACGCAGACCTCTGCCAAGATGAGCCTGGCAAGCAATGAAACTCTGTCAGCAAAGCCAGACAAGCTTTGGAGGTAAGCAGGTCTCCCTGCAGTCTTCTAAAAATTATTTCACTCTCAGGGTGACCAAATTTTCCAAAACCATGTAAGATATATTGCTTTTTAGAGCCATTTGAGCCACATCGCTTGCTAAGCTCTAGCAAATCAAAATTGCTGTCAATGAAGCCTCAATCTGTCAAAAATGATCCTCGGTACTTTGATGGATCGGGACCTGAATTCCCACTTCTTAGTGCTGATGAGAGCGTGTCACAGTTCCTGGCACTCAGAAGCACTGATGTGAAAATGCTCATGCCTTCATTTTGAAAAAAGCACTTAAAATAGGAAAACCTTAGTCCTTTCCTGGGCATTTATTGTATTTACAGCCAAAGAATGCCAAATCTTCTACAGGTATCACCCAAGTCTCACAACATCCAGCAGAGAGAAGATAACTTTACAGAATGGGATACAGCTAGGACATGGGACTTGCCCCAGATCAGAGAAGCTATTTGTGATAGTTTGAAAGCTGAATCTACATTCCCTTGGCATTCCAACCCACATGTTAACTGAAAGATTACCCATTTCTTTGTACCACAGTGCACTGAAAAGTATATATTATGTTCAGTTTTCATATAAAAGCATATAAAGCCAGCAGGGTAAGCAAGGCATCACTCAGTGACAGCAGGGAACAAACATGTGAGAAATCAAAGGCCAGCGTAACTTACGGGAGCCGCATTGTTTTTCACTGTGACACTCGGAGTTGTGGCTCGTAGCGCCCCGCTCACGCCATGGTAGTATTTGAAGCAGATCTTTGTTTCAGCTAAAAAAAGAGAATTTTTTTAGATTAGAAGAACTGCCAGGGAGAAGCTGCACAAGCGGTTGAAGCTCACAGGTACAAGGCTGGCAAGCAGTTAAATTGCGAGTGCTTTGTCCCAGGTTGGTTGGCACAACAGGATACCTCCTGCCTCCAATCTTCCCCTTTCCCAGAGCAAAATTTAGAGTTTGGTTCCTGCAACTTAAAACAGTTAAAACCCCAACCTCTTCTGAGCAGCAGTTATGACAGACATACCTGAGAGTACCTGATTGGCATCTTTTAGCTACATTACAAAGAAGAAAAGTAGGGACAGAGAATCGCTCCCTGTTTAGACATACCAGATGCTAGTGTGCAGAGAAAGTGAGAAACTTCCTTAGGGTGACCAGATTGCATAGTTGCTCACTGACAGGTTTCAGTGAGTGAATTTGTTCTGGCTTTGGTCAGAGCAAGGACGTAGATCTACACAGATTATCTGCTCTGGCAGTTACTACATTAAAACATTTTTCAGAAACAACATATTACCACAAGACATCATCGTAGTGTATTTCCACCAACTTCCAAAGATTTGGATTAGGTGAGGAAGCAAGACCATGATTTTGGACTCACAGCACTGCTTTTTGCCACATGTATTGATATTCAGATAAATACATTGTGAGGGAAACCTATTTTGATAAATGTATCAAGGTATAGAAGAAGCAAAATAACCTGCTTGTTCAATCATTCCCTTACAACCCACCTTCTTGTCTGCTGCAAGAAGGAAAGATACTTTCAGTCAGCTTCTCTGTTGGTCTGTAACTGCAAATGGATATGAATTGCTAGTATGCATCATAATCCCACTCACTTACTTGCCTGGTGGCTTGCTGTAGCACATCCCACAGGCAGGAGTTTTCTTCCATAGTAAACCAGGATGTGAAGTAGGTTGGTATGTGCCTGCATACAGCCAGGACACAGCAGGTATGCACTGTATGTATGTAAAAGGTATGTTTGTGGGATCTGAAAAATGCCTATTTAAATAAAAGCAGCATTCACATCTTGCAGTTTTAACTGGATAATAGCATGGAAATTTTCAGCTGCTCCATAATATACTTGAAGGTGCTTCTCTTGGTTTGCAGCTGCTACTGAGGCCCAGGGAAAACACCAACCTTTGCCTGCAAAGCCACAATTCTGCTCTACTGTAACTACAGTGCCTATGTAAGAAAATAGTAAAGGAATGACAATACAAATTGCATTGCCGTTTTAACACAGTAACAAAATAAGCAAAATCAGTGCAGCTGTGACAAAAGATTACACAATGTTAAGAGCTGGGACCTTGGCCCACAGATTATGATGCTGTGATCTGCCAAAAAACAACCATGCAGCACCCCAGGTGAAAAGCAGTGGAGACCCTCAAAAATGCACACCGGAATTACTTACCCTGATGCCTACAGATATACAGGAGGAAAAAGAAATCCTGATTTGTTTTTTGAAAGACAAAATAGTTTTAGGAGTGTAAAGCCTTCCCAACTTTCAAACGTGACTTGGGAAATGAAAAACAAAGAGCTTATGTTCCCAAGTAGTTCCAGCACGTCTCATTTCCAGGTGGCTTCTCAGCACTCCTCCCTGAGGAGGCATCAGGGACATGCAGTCCATCGACAAGAAGCACAGTGCCAGCACAGTTAATCTGCCATCATATTTTCCATCCCCACAGCTCGTTCTTCATCTGATGGCCAGGTGCACTTTTCTGCCCAGACAGTGCAAATACACTCCTCTCCCACTATATGCGCAGATACATCCATGCCTCCCTTTTACTTTACAGCACTCCACAAGAAGTGGAACAGGTTACAGATTCCTTCAGCACCTCCATGAGGGGCTGTGTGGCCCATCCTGGGGTTTAATTCACAACTATGCCCCAAATGAACTTCTGCAAATCAAGAGATTTACTTGAGGTGTCAGTGCAGCTGAGCAAGCGACCCTGTTGTTGCACCTGGGAGCAGCAGTTGTTTCCTTTCGGCAGCAAAAAAGCTGGATGAGCTTGTGGGACTGAAAAACTGCAAGTCCAGATTGAATTTTCACATTGTAATTTTCTCTACAGGACTTTTAACAGCTCAGCAGCTAACTCATTTACGCACTGAGAAGACAGCAAAAGCTGAGGATATCACAATAGCTAAAACATGCAGTTCTCACCAATTATTCAAATCTTAATTTTCCTCTCCCCTGGAGATTTTTAGCTACAGTTTGCATGGAACATTGAGAACTAGAATAAAGCAAAACTTTTTTTTTGGTCTTTTTTTTTTTTAATTTTTATTAACTCATGCAGTTAATAAAACATAACCTGAAGTATTAGCCAGCGTTACAACGTTCAGACCTCACAGCAGGAAATCTCACCGTAGGTTGACAAGTACATGGTAACTGATATTCTACCTTGGGAAACTATGGTTTAAAAGAACCTATTTAAACTAAAAGTATTAGAGAACAGGAGAAAGAAAGAATATATACTTATGTAGGTATTCTGGATATTAGTATTGCTTTCAAGGACAAAGGATTACTAAGATGATTGAACATGTATTTGGAAAGAACCATGCGGGTATTGAAGATTCCTCTCAGTTTCACACAACTACTATTTCTAATTTAATTTTCAATCACACTGCCCACATACAGATGCAAGCTGGCAAGGCGGCAACTCAGAGAGATGCAAGCGTCACACCCAGTCCAAAACAGTGGCAGAGGTGGAGCCATTCATCAGGCAATATTTGAGGTGGTGATTAATGAATGTTAAAGGTTTCATTAAGAGAGCAGATCTAATAGCAAAAAGTCTTATGGGAGCCTTCACAGCTTGAGCTCTAAAAACACCATGGGAACAACTTTTTTTTTTTTTTTATTTCCTCCCCCCCAACTTTTTCCCAGATCTTTTTCAGATTGAAAATATTAGGAAAATGGCTATTGTGAATGGACAGATAAAACTTTAACAAGTAAAAAGCTTGCAAAATTACATACGATATATATGTGCAAAAATGCCACTTAGGCCCTAGTTGGGCTTTTTTTGGCTGGGAGCCAATTCTTTCCAAATAATGTCGTTGGTACCATGTTTTTCACTTCAGAATCCTAACATTTTAATCCATCTGAAGATTGTTCTTGTATTCCTGAATCACCTCTGAGACGTTTCCAAAACAGATGCAGACATTCACTGGCTTGGTGCCACTGCCTCTGCAGATGAACAGAAAGCACTGTAAGTATAGGCAAGGCAGTGATATAAATTAACCTGAATATTATCCAGCTGGCATTCATACGTAATATGTAGTTATAAGGGTTGTTTGCATTGTAGTCTTGTAGATTAGCTTGTTATGGAATAAAGGAGACCATTTAACTCTGTCTAGCTGCCCCAGCTACATGGCACAGTGCACAGGTCAGGAGCAGGTGTTGTCCAGTTAATTCCCAGTTATAAATAAATAGGTTGGCATTGTTATTTTCAGCTCAGTAATTATGAGTGGTAGCTCACTGGATCAGGTAATGAAGTTATAATGTTAAAGTCAGGAAATAATGAGATTAAATTCTCCTTTCAATTAGCATAAATGGCAGTTAGACTGGTAAATCTTCCAAGAGATGAGATGTCTAAAGATGCTCAGAAATACTCATGCCCATGACAATTGCCAAACTACTCAGCAATTTTCATGGATCAAGAACAAAATAGCATTGTATTCCCTTTACAGCAGGCTTGGTATCTCCATTATACCATGGCTGCATTACAGCTTTCCACTGGATTGATATAAGACAGTTCCCAGTTGTATGCTCAGACTCACTGCTGCAACCATCGCAGGTGCAGAAAATACAGCTGCCCCAAAGCAAGGTCCCCAAGGCAGGGCAAGGTAGGGTAATCAGAGCAAGGGAACAGGAGAGGTGATTCTGTTTTGCTCCTTGCACCGCAGCCCACAAGCACCTCTGTGGGCCACATAGCAGGGATGCTCACCAGGAACGGAGAGGAGCCAGAATGTAGCTCATCCCCGGACACAACAGACACCACTTCTCATTCAGAGGAAAACTCTGAAAAGTTTGAGTTTTGCCAGAAAACAACTCTGCCATAGAGCTTCATCCCTCTCACAAGAAAAAAAATCCAGTCCGCAGAAAATGATTTCTCTATCAAAGGCCTGAGTTATCTCAGTTACCAAATCAGTTTTGCAAATTAACTGGAAAATGAATTTACCAGCTGAACATTACTCTTCTTGGCAATATTCTATACCACCTCCACAATCACCCAGCCCTTGAAAACACCCTACCTCCTTACTAAACTGAAATGAGAGGAGATAAAAACTAGTCAGGTCTGCTGATAAATTGCAGCTGGAAGTATTGAAGGTTGAAAGCTTCTAAGACATGTTCTAGTTTCCATCATCCACCGATTCTTCCTTCCTGTCAGTATTATTGCTCCTGTTGGTTTATTTGATACTCTTTGCCTTTAAAATACTTCAATTTCTGCTCATCTTCCTCATTCCTTCAGAGCTGTCAAAATTGCCCTAAATCTCTTCTCAAAAGTTCACTTGCTCTTATAATCCTCTGCTCCTCACTTACTAACGCTAGTCTGGTCTCAGAGGCTTAGCTTTCACTAAAAGGTGGATTTATTCTCTCAAATACAAAAAGAAGCACTGTCAGGATTAAGCAGTTTCCCTTGTTAAACTAAAAAAAACCCCCACCAAACCAAACCTAAACACGGCCCCCCCCCAACCACACAAAAAACCTCCAAAGAAACAACCCAATCATACTAATGGGTATTTCAAGGAATGACTTAATGATATTCTTTGGAGGAGGCAGAAAGCATCAGATGGTGTTTGATAGAGTGTGTGATACACCTGAGGCACTTCCACTATCTAGTTGGGATTTACTCCCATGATACTTTTTGTTTCAATTAAATAGCTGAGGTGACTAGGCATTAGCTAAGCATTTCTCAGCACTGAACAAGCTCTCAGGGAAGTAATGCCAGTCTTAAAACCGGAGTCCTTTGTGATCAACTCAATCTATTATTAAAAAAGCTGTTGTTG